GTGACCCAGCAGGTGACAGCAGGCTCCAGCAGGATGATGAATCTTACCTGGGAGGAGATGAACGTCCCCAGCAGTCAGCATTCCACTAGCAGCTCTGAGGTCAGACACACTTTATGACCACCTGTCTCACCTGTCTCACTTCTATCAGGTGTCTCACACAGTCATCCTGTTGGACCCCAGTAAAGACCAGCTGTGGACCTGTGAAGGTCTACTGTGGTGTCTGCTGGGCTGAGGTGACTCACTGTGGTTAACCTGGTTGCCGAACATGTCAGGTGTGTGGCAGGTAGCTTCATCACACAACACTGTGTCCATGAAGAGGACTGGACCTGCTCCCTGTACGAAGACACGCCCAAATAACATGTCTCCAGCTGTCAGATCAGTAACTATGTTTACATGGACATAAGTAATCTGATNATTATTCTGACCTGACTCAGCTCGATCTGAATGAATTAGTAATCTGAATGACAGAGGTGGTTTATGCAGATTGATAATCTGAACAGCATGTAAACACTTAATCTGATAATCTTATTCTGATTGTAGAAACTGACCTGACTGTTCATGTCTGCTGACTTTCATCCAGCGGTTCTGTTCTTTGTGGAGGGAGGAGCAGCAGCACAGACCCTGTCCTCCTGTTCTCTCATTCAGTAAAGAAGGAAGACACACAGCCTGCGCCGCTTCGCCCAGATAGATAAATAAATAAATCAATAAATCAATAAATAATTCAATCTGTGCATCACCTGCAGCTCAGAGTGCAGTAACGTCTCCACCGTTAATCAAACTGTTGTGGGTCCATTCTGAGCTCAGAAGACGGTTCTGTTTCATCATGGAAGTAGAACTCATTCTTCTGTGGGTTTTTTAGGTAAACATAACTCTGAGCATGTTATTTGTTATAAATGTTTATTCATTTCTTTAAAAAAGCAACAGAAATTCAACAAACAACAAAAATACAAATCACAAATTAAATGAAAGGTAGCAGAAGAAGAAAAAATCCTTTTATATCTGCCCCTTTTTTCTCAAAGAAATAAATTCAATCAAAAATAATCTTCAGTTTACAAGAAAGAAAAAAAAATAAAGGTTTAGCTCCTTGAACAACAATTCATACATTTACATATTTCTGCAGCAAGTTGACTTTTATTGTTCTCTACATATCGATGAGGCCTTTTTAACGTCATCCTCCAGATTATTCCATAATCTTATTCCCTGGACTGAAGTACTCCGTTCCTTTAAACTGGTTCTGCATCTGTCAGGTTCTGTGTGGAGCCTTGTTACAGCTCATGTTCTGCAGTCGCAGCGGTGCCTCGTCATGACAACAGAGCTCTGAAAACAACAAGAACAAATCATTGGAGCCGCAACAAATGTTCACTTTTACCTGAAGTTGTCTCACCTCGCACTGTTGTTTCTGTGTGAGCTAGGTGTGTGTGTGTCTGTGTGTGTGTGTGTGTGTGTGTGTGTCTGTGTGTGTGTGTGTCTGTGTGTGTGTGTGTGTGTGTCTGTGTGTGTGTGTCTGTGTGTGTGTGTGTGTGTGTGTGTGTGTGTGTGTGTCTGTGTGTGTGTGTGTGTGTGTCTGTGTGTGTCTGTGTGTGTGTGTCTGTGTCTGTGTGTGTCTGTGTGTGTGTGTGTGTGTGTGTGTGTGTGTGGGTCTGCTGCAGATAACAGAGGACGGGGAGACGAG